TAGTCGCGGTAGTTGTCGCATATTCTGTTTTCTCTGATTCACAAGCACTTCAATAATTGCGTAATGATTTACATGCACCACTTAGTCGCATATTGCCTAAGGTAATGCAATAAACGCATCATTTTGTCCCAAATTAATATTTTGCATACGGCGGTCAAGGTTCTCGCTCATGATTAAAGTGGAATGAGTTAGGGTTTGAAAATGAACAGAAACGAAAATTAAATATATTCGCATCTGTAACGGTTTTGGAAAGAGAATCGATTGAAGAATCACGAAACTGTTTGGGTAACCGCCCAACAGACAATAACCGGCAATTACATTCGAGTAGGATCTAGAAAATAATCGTCGGAACGGACTCGCCAAAGAAAATGATAGAATTTTAATATTGAAATTGATTTCATCGTGAAGAAGAAAAAGATACGAGAGAAGAGAGAGAAAAAAAAGAGAGACATTTTTAAAATTTTCAAAAAAAATTATGTTCATTTTATTCTATTTAAAAGAATTTTTAAATATTATTCATAAAATAAATAATAATCAAAAAAAAACTGAAACTAATTGTGGTGGTTCAATAGTCGAATATCGTAACACCAAAGGTTTGGTCATCTAGTAGTTAGCGCAAGAAATTGGTTTATGTATACTCTGTTCTGTAACCAAGCCAATTTCACCTCACAATAACACATATTTTGATTCAATAGGTCTTATTCACTATTACTATGTTGCTCACTGCAAATAATTTGTAAAAAAATAATCCATTTTCTACAAACCATGATCAGTCCAGAGTTCCTCCAAGTTGACTTTCGATCAAGATGCATCTGATTATAAAGAGATTATAAAGAAACTGAAATATAGATCTCTTTTAAAGTAGGTTGATTGATAATACCATTAATTTCTCAAATAAAGTAGAAATAAGGTAACTGAAAATTATTTTCTGAAAGTAAACTAGTTTATGGACACCTAATTTAATTTTTTTGGTTGCTAGATTGTTTTTTGCCTAACCTTGGACTATTTTCTAATAGGTGAGGTTTTTTTAAATGAAGCTTTCAAAACAAGAAGAGCGGCCATCTATTTGTGGAAAAATGGCCAATTTCAACATGAATTAAACCTGTCGTGCTCTTTCCTACCTGAACTTATAAAGAGTGCGTTTTCCTACCTCAACTTCATATAAAATTTAAATAAGCTATCTCAACTATCTATTTCGTACCAAAATTAATATTGACCATATTCCCGTTAGTTGACTGCTAATGCCTTATGACTCGGATGGACGGAGATGCCAACATGGCAATGACGTTTGCTGGGAAAAAGGTCAATTTCAACCTGAACTTAACTTGTCGTGCTCTTTCCTACTTGAACTTATACATAGTGTGTTTTCCTGCCATTGTGGTGTTTGTTTCGGTGATGGTTTCGTATTCTGTGAACTTGGGATTGAGGACTTGCACATGTAGAAGATGGGATATGAGTGGGATTCCATATGTTCATGTTTTGCATATCATCTCCAGTTGCTATCTCAATACAAGGCAACAACAGATTTATAATTACTCAATAAGGCCAGTAAATGGTATGTGCTTTTGGGAAAAAACTGGTATGTGCAATTCTGGATTTTATTGATTTGATTCCTTAAGAATATTTGTTTGTGTGTGCTTTGTTGAGTTGAGTGTGTGTTTTGTTGGGTGACATATGAGAATGGAACTATGGTTTATGATTAGTAACATATGAGAAATTTGTGGCTCTTAGATTTGAATGATTATAAATTATTTTTGTTGTATCATGTTTTCAGGGAAAGAAATGATAGAGTCAGATATGGAGCGGCTTGATGGTTTTTGTAAGGATGGTTCTTCAGTTTAGGACATAGAGCGACTTGATGATTTTGGGCATGTTGAAGCTTCACTTTAGGATATCTTCTTTTCTCTTTTTCTTGTTATGGTTTGTTGAATATTTATGCTGAAATTTAAAACCAGAATATTGGCAATCAATTAAACTTCTTATCATTTGTCTCTTTTTCTTTACACATACAAACATGACAAAGCAAACATAAAAAAACCATTAAACACTTAATCTTGAACATGATAGATCTTACAAATACCTAGTCTTGAACATGAGAATCTTACAACTACCATTAAACTCTAACACAATTACTCTTATAATTCTCCACAATCTAATACTCAAAATACAAACCTAAATAAAAATAATAATCACCAAAGCAAACACCACAATAGTAATAAAACGCACTATGTATAAGTTCAGGTAGGAAAAATCACGACTTGTTTAGTTCAGGTTGAAATTGGTTCTTTTCACAGCAAACGTTATTGCTATGCAGGCATCTCCGTCCATCCGAGTCAGCAGGCATTAGCGGTCAACTAACGAAAATATGGTCAATATTGATTTTGGCATGAAAGATAAAGCTAGGATAAATTATTTAGATTTTATATGAAGTTAAGGTAGAAAAACAAACTTTATACAAATTCAGGTAGGAAAAAACACGACAAGTTTAGTTCATATCGAAACAGGCTTTTTCCCATTTATTTGCAAAAAAAATAGATAAGAAAGAGTGGCCATCTTTGGTCATACCGAGGTTAAGTTGGATCTGACACGCATGAACGTGTTAATTAATGAAAGAAGAGAAATTAAAAGAGAGTATTAGTTTTAGTTTTTCAATGAAGCTAAAAGGTTGATCTCTGCTGTAACCTGAGGGTGAGATTTAGAAGAGACAAAACTGTTCTTGTGCATGTGCACTATGCTGTCTCCTCGCTTTGTCCCCTTCCTCTCCTCCGTAGTATTCATTGTTTACTTAATTTTATCCTAACTAATGACAAATATATATTTTGATCAAAATTCTATACCCACTATATAGCCTTAGTTTGTTCTGGATCGAATCTTTGGTATCTAGTCTCTTTTCAAATGACCACGAGAGTCGATGAAAGGACATTATTATAACTCTTCAAATCTTTCTTTGAATAACTTAAGAATTATTTACTGTATTTTGAAGTGATGGATGTGTTACTCACACGATGATCTTCTTGCATCTAAAACATATAGTCGACACATGCTCGACTCTTTATAAATTAGTCCACAATCAAATCATCCATAATCAAATCATCTATAATAAATTTACTCATTTTGAATGTGCATATGGATCTATTATAAGTAACAATATAATTCGTCAGCTTACCTCATGTTTAGTAAGCAAATCATATATCTAATCAGGAAAAACTATCTACGGTAGAACTATCCACATCAGCAATTTATTTTAAATTTTTTAATTTTATTAGACTTTAATTTATTTTGTATATAAATACTTTATAAACCACAAAATATAAATTATCTAATTTTTATATTTAAAAGGTTTTTACATACATATTTTGGATAAACATTTATTTTTATAAGCCACAAAAATGTAAAGTATCTACAAATAAAAATTTTAGAATGTTATTTCAAATAAAAAATAAATAAAATGTATAAGATTGATGGTTAATTTATTTTGTTAATCTCTTCAAAATTAAACGGCAAATAAAAAATGAATAAAATTATAGAGATAAAAGATATAGATACACACGATAATGTATAAGTATAAGATCGAGTTTTTTAAACAATTAACATATCATGATTTATATTTTAAAAAATAAATTAAAATAGTTCTAAATATTTTTAGGTTAATTAAAAAACTAAAACAACATTTAAAATTAAAAGAATAAAAATTAAATAGATAAATGTAATAGTAATTTAAAAATATGATTTCAACTAAGAAATAAAGAGATTTGGTGGGAATGATAGTGAATTTCTTCTATTGATTTTACTCAAAATAAGTGACCTAAAAGAAAAAAAAAACCAATTGAATAAAAATATTCAATGAAAAAATATATATATACTCGATAACGTATACGTAAGTTTTTAACAATTAACATATTATAATTTCTATTTAAAAAAACAACTTCACAATAGATCTACATATTTTAGGATAATAAAAAACTAAAAAAACATTTAAAATTGAAAATTAGAACAGAAATTTATTAAAAAAGGTAAACATAATAGTAATATAAATATATAAAATTATAAATTTAAAAATTGGATAAACAAAATAGCTTCTCAAATTTCTATCGAAATAAATTCAGAATACTATTTCAACTAAGAAGAAAAAAAGAGTGAGTGAGACTGGTAGTGAATTAATTTTCTAGTTCTAAAAAAAAAATCAACTAAATAGAGATATTCAATAAAAAAATATAAATATTGATAACATCTTATAAGTATAAGAAAATATTTCTTATCATTTAACACCTTACAATTTTATTAGAAAAAAACTTTACAATAATCTCATATATTTTGAAATAATAAAAAAATAAAAGTAATATTTTTATATTTCTAAAAAAACAAAAGCAAGTATAAAACCATGCATAATAAAATAATAAATAAACATAGTGCTAATATAAATCTATAAAATTAAAAATTTGATAATAAAATTTTTTAGTCGATTGTAATGCCACAGTTAGACGCATGATGATTAGTCTACTAACATACAAAATCACGGTAAAGAGTTTCACGAGTGGGACTGGCCCAAATGGAAGAATGACCAGCAGACCAGATAAGATAAATTTAAGGACACTGTACAAGTAATTTAGTCCTAGACAGTCCTTAACAATGAAGTTTTAACCTTAGCTTAATTATAAAATATCAAAAGTAAATTAAGTTTAAAGATCACAAAATCGAGTGATGTTTAAAACAAAATTAGTTATACGATTTGGTATTGGTATACTCGATAATATATAAGTATTCAAATCCAAATAAGTATTCAAAAGTGAATATACTCGATAACGTATAAGTATTCAAATCCATCTTTGAATAACTTAAGAATTTAAAAACGGATTTGTGGGGCACATGTAGTATATAGTATAAAAACATTATTAGTCATGCAATACAAAACGTACATCGGTACTCTTTTTAATAATACTTTCTAAAAATCTTACCGGCATTAGGCATATACCATATTGGCCCCATAAATACCTAAAGTTGGATGAAATATCAATAGATATAAATGACGGAGTAAAGTCCACTACCACTACAAGGACACAGAACATCACATCATCTATCTATCATGTCTTTCTCTCGAACACAACCCTCCTCTTCTTCTTCTTCTTCATCCTCTTCTTCAGTTTGGCAACTCCAATACATGAAGCTCCACTTCTTCACCAAGATTCGTGCCCTTCTGACATCCAAAGCATCCTCTCGCAAGTGCAACCATCAAGGCCCAGTTGAGAAATCAAGAACCCAACAAGATTCCGACAAGGTGGCAGCGCTTCCGGAAATAGCATCGAAGCCACCTGAAGATGTGAATGAGGAGGTTGTGTTGCAGAAAACTGTGAAGAAGCTTCACTTTGGAAGTTTGGAAGAAAAAGAGAAAGCTGCCATCGAGATCGAGAAACTAGCCAGAGAAGACAAGAAGACTCGGAAGCTCATGGCTGAGCTCGGTGTTCTTCAAGTTCTTGTTTCTATGGTCGCTTCCGATGTCTCCAGCCAACAGAAAGCTGCCGTTATGGCTCTTATTCAACTTTCTCATGGAACCTACACGTAAGTTCTTTTTTTTATTTTTGAACTTAAAAGTTCTTATTTTTCTTTGATCCTTGGCCAAACGGCCCAAACCCAAACTAATCCTTGAGACATGTAGAAACAAGGTTTTTTTAATTTAGTTATTTTACTAATTCTATCAAATTATTTCAATAGTGAATCAAAATCCAAATATATCGATGCATGTTATCACAGATAGTATCATCATTGTGTATTTATGATGTTGATATTTGTCCTTAAGTGATTGTTAATTTAGGTGAACACATGAAGGAGAATGTTATCAATATTTTCGTTCTTTGTGTGTTTGGTAATTATCAAATTACCTTCTCGTGTCTTGCTTCACAATGAATAAGATTTGGCGTTATTCTTTGATTTTCAACCAACTTGCACTTTTTAGCTTTTATCCAATGGTGACTTTGCATATATTGGATTTATGTTTTTGGCTATAGGTGAATTTTCGAAGATGTTCAGAGCTAGTGGTTACAACTTATAACTTCGGTGTATACATATATCATCATCTACTCTTTTTGTTTTATATATCTTTGATTAGAATATTTGCATTCGAAAATATATAACATATTTATGAGTATATTATAACATAGGTTGTTAAGTCAACTGTTGACAAAATACTCCAATAGAGTGATTTTCTACCGAAATGAATTGTTTTTACTGAAGGTGCTGCGATGCCTAATTTTCTTTCGTTCGCTATATTTTTGTCAACAAATATTCAATTTTTTCCTTCAAAAAAACTTATTTTTGTTATAAAGTTTTGATTTTGAAACTAATGCTATAAATAGTGGATCCTACCATAGGCCATGGCGGCTTATTTGGCTCTTGAAGTATGCGCAACGTTTCCCTCACGTGCCCTCCTTTCTCTCTATGATGTAGTTTGGTCAATATTGAGTGTTACATAAAGGTCACCTGTAACGCCCTCGATCGTCTTTACCGGCGAGTCACCCATTCCTCCGTCGGGTTCGTGGGCTCCGCCCTTATCCGACGACCGGTGCATTATTTTTTCCGGAGCCCAACTGACTTATTTGCTGATCCTGCAATCATTTCATGATCTTTCTCCGTGTTTTGGCCTCACTCACACGGTTTCGAGAATCACTTTCCGAAAGATCACCCATCCTAGTCCTACTCCAACTCAAGCACCCTTAATTATCGAGTTCTCTCGAGACCAGTGACCGAAAAGATAAGTGCACTTTGATGACATAGGTAGCCAAAAAAATCCATTTAAACTTATTCAAATGAACTAGACCCGGATCGTTACATCACCACTCACCACATTATCACACCACATTATCACCATTTTACCTATAGATATAATAATTAATTTTAATATTGTGCATGTATGTACCATATCACTACAAGTCCTATATAACTTTGCTACATATCACTACAAGTAACTATGCAAATGGGTTTTTTATTTTTCGTTTGGTAGTTATCTACAAATTATGTTCTTGTTTATTTATTTATTAATTACATATTTATAAATACATGCACATATAACTTAGGGGAGAATACAAAGAACATAGACATAGAGGAGGAGTTTGGAAAGCTTCGTTGGCGATCCACTAAGTTCCATATATCTATTAGTCAGTATTCCAATTTGTTCATTTATTTCTTAATAATTAATAAAGAAACAGTTAATGTGACTCATTATAGTATAATAATGAATGTTAATTTACTATTACAAGTAAATTAAGAATATTAATTCCGAGTGCGTTGGAACTCGGAAGAGCCGAGAGACAAATCACGTTAGTTGACAGCCATTAGCATATCTCCAATTTGCCATTAATTTTTCTGACCAATCAGATCTTAGAGAAGTTGAAAAATCACATTCCACTTTCCTATGGCTAATCTATATACGTGTGGAACTATAAATATAATATACCATACGTATTATCTTTTTAAAAATTATTATAACTCTTTACATGATCTAAAACAAAACACGCAGTATTTAGCAAAAAGTTGAAACGTTGCAAAGAAAAAATGTCGCATGTTCTTGGATTTGAAATTGATGAAAATGTGATCATTAAGAATTTTTTATGACTTAATCAATGTTACTTGAAGTTTTTTTTTTAATAAATCGGAGGATTCCGACAAAAACTATAAACGTCAAACATAGCTCCTGAACCTTGGTTCCTCAACTCTATGATCAGTTTTTCAACCACTGAACCATCATTTGGTTCTGTGCTCTGTTTTTTGTTTCAATTTTCTTTGATTTTTTAAATCTTGATGATCTCTTGTTAATTCATTTGATTTTCACACTTCTTTAAAATTTATAAGGCCCAAGAAGAGAAGTTTTATTTTGCATAAACAAATTTACAGTAATAATTTCAATAATATAAATCGATTTAAAATTTTGAATTTTCTATAGATCATGTTCAAGAGTGTCAAGATTAAACGGGAGAGATGATTTGAATGACATTTATGCAAATAAACCGAAACGAATAGCAATATAGAAATATCTAAGCTTCTTATGTTTCTCTTACTTCAGGAACAAGGCACTGATAGTAAACGCCGGAATATGCTCAAAGCTACCTAAAAGTGTCGAGGTTCTCGACCAATCAACAAGACATGGCTTCGCGGAGCTTCTGCTCTCATTGTCTTCTCTAACAAATACACAAATACCAGTAGCTTCATCACAGATTCTACCGTTCTTGATGGAAATGACGGAGTCAGAGTCAACAAACATAAAGTGCAAAGAGATATGTCTAGCCACCATTAACAAACTCTGCCTCGTGCTGGAAAACGCAGGGCCGTTGGTCTTAAACGGAGCAGTGAAGACACTCCTAAACGTAATGTTGGTAAAAGACTTGTCAGACAAGGCACTAGCGAGTCTAGGGCAATTGGTGGTGACTCAAATGGGTAAAAAGGCAATGGAGGAGTGTTTGATTGTTCCCAAAGGTTTGATAGAGATTCTAACATGGGAAGACAAACCGAAATGCCAAGAATACTCGGCCTATATCTTGATGGTCTTAGCTCATCAGAGTTGGAGCCAGCGCGAAAAAATGGCCAAGGCAGGGATTGTGCCGGTTCTTCTTGAAGTGACCTTACTTGGGAGCCCTCTGGTTCAGAAGAGAGCAGTGAAACTTTTGCAATGGTTCAAGGACGAGAGAAATGAACGGATGGGTCCTCATTCGGGTCCACAAACGGGTCGGATGAGTTCCGGGATGGGATCCCCAATGAGTCCGAGGTCAGGGGAAGAAGGTAAGAAGATGATGAAGAATCTGGTGAAACAGAGCTTGTACAAGAACATGGAGATGATAACTAGACGAGGGAATGTGGATATGGAGAGGGAAGCTTGTAGGCTTAAGTCTTTGATCATCAGCACAAGCTCTAAAAGCTTGACTTATTGATCTTTGTTTTATGCTGATACTTTGCCGTATAAAGTGATTAAGTGAGTGTCCTGCTATCAACAAATGAACATTTATACAAGGGAATAAAGAAGGAAAAGAGAGAGACGTGCAGTTGCAAAAATAGGACTCGCGTTGAAAGTTCCTTACTAAACTTGCTTTTGAAGCAACCTTAGTTAGACCAAACTCAAAATTAAGTCCAACTTTTAGAGTATGCTGAATTCAAAAAGCTTAACACCTTTTATGTTTTTTTTTCATATTAGTAAAAATTTATTAGTACTGCCATGAAATAGTCACGGATTTTCTGTAACTAATTAAAAACAAAACCACGAAAATTTAATTTTGCCGCAGAAAAAATTAGTCACTAAACTATTGCAGGAACGCAATTAATATAATTGAACAGTCTAATAATTTACGAAGAAATGACATGAAATAAATCGATAAACATAATATAAAATGATATCGATTAAACATGAATTTAGGAAAACGGATTGCAGAGTCGAGACATGGTGATTTCTTTCCTTAATTCTGTAAATGCTCTGTAGTGTGACGGTTGCATGGCGTTCCGAATCCCAGGATACAACTGCATTATTCTTAAGATTCACATCACTAAAATTATAAACTTTCGAACCTTCTTTCTGTGTTGTACTCTCATGAAAAACCAAAGAAAAATAAAAAATAGAAGAAGTGTGTGAAGATTGTTGTTTCATGTTCTTTTTATAAAAAATAAGAGAGATGAGAGTTTTCAACTCCATCATGGTTCATAATGCTCATTAATCTCAATTAATATTAGGAGGAATTGCTAAATATGACTCAAAACTTGAGTTGAAATGCAAAACTAGACCCTCTATTGCATGTTTGACAAAAATAACTCACAGGGATAGTGAAATTACAACTTTAACCCTTATGACCAAATAAAAAAACGTCAACCTCAATTACTATTTTATCCCAGAGAAGTCTACTCGAGAAGTTAAGTAGACTTCTCGAGTAGACTTCTCCAAGAAGTATACTCTTTAATAATATGTTTACAATTAATTTTAAAAATCATAAAAGATAATTTAATAAAAAAAATTAGATACATAACAACAAATATATACTTTTTACACCTATTAAAAATATAATTTGACAGAAAATAATCAATTTAAATCATCATAGATAAATTAGGATAAAAATCAATACTAAGAGACTTCTCGAGTAGACTTCTCGGTTTCTCGAGTAGACTTCTCGAGTAGACTTCTTGGAGAAGTCTACTTACACGAATTTTTTCCTACATATATAAGGAGAGTTTAAACTAATTGTATTAACAACAAAGTCTCTCCCTATCTAAAAAATGCCTCTCTCTCTTCTCCCTTCTCTCTGGCCATGAATTTCTTCTCCTTCTTCTCTTGCTATCAATATCCTCTCCATCCTCTCTATCTTGCATTCAACCTCCTCTCACTTACATGTTATGGTAGTGGTAAGCAAATCTGAGCTTTTTTGTTTCTCTTTTTGTTTGCTTTGTGTTCATATTGCAAATCTGAGCTTATTATTATAGATTTGAGCTTATTGTTGTAGATATAAGTTTATTTTTGTAGATCTGAGTTTATTGTTGTGTAAATTTTGTAGATTTTGTTAATTTTTGTTATTATTGTAGAGCTGAATTTTGTTGATTTTTGTACAGATCTGAATGTTATAAATATAGTAGATTATTATTATAGATCCGAACTTATTAGTTTAGATTTGAGTTTATTGTTGTAGATCTAAGTTTATATTTGTAGATCTGAGTTTATTGTTGTATAAATTTTATAGATTTTGTTCTAGATCTAATTTTTTCGTTATTGTTGCAGAGCTGAATTTTGTTGATTTTTTTTTTGCAGATCTGAATGTAGACTTCTCGGGTAGACTTCTCGATCTCGAGCAGACTTCTCGAGTAGACTTCTCGATCTCGAGCAGACTTTTCAAGCAGACTTCAGTTGCATACATAGTTTTCGGAGATTTTAGTTTACTAGTCATTTCTTATACCAATTTTAAGATTTATAATTAGTGATCCTTAAATGTTTGTTTGTTTAGAGGGTTATTTTCTATGTAATGTTGAATTACATTGAATGTTTTGTATCAAATTCCTAAATTATCTATGTTTATCTATTCTACAAAATAGACTTCTCCGGTCTCGAGTAGACTTCTTAAATACATTAATTTTACATTACTTATAAGTGATTCAGAGGGACATTTCTCCCATTTATATCATATAACTTGTCAACTGATATATCATGGTTTTTATGGTTTTTAACCATGATATAATTTATTTTTATTGAGTCTTTTTAGTCTTTTTAGAGTCATAGAAGAGTCTTTGCAGGTTATAGCATGTCTGGAGCATAATTGGAGATATTGGAGCCTTTTGGAGCATTTTGAGTTGAAGCCACGAAGTACCCAACTCGGGAAGAAAAGTATGCATATGGGTGATGCTCGTCACCAATCTGGTGACGCTCGTCACCCACCAAGGAAGGAGGTCGTGGCTGTTTTCTAAAAGATTAGGAAGAAATTGCAGTTTTGGCCCAGAAGTTCTAATATTTGCAAAAAGGCCCCATATCGTGTTTTAGCTTGTATATTAGGTTTTTCAGCCATTCTTTTGGCATCTATCTTGTATCTTAATATTTTTGAGAGCTTTAGAGAGAGATTTTTGTAGCAGAGCTTTTGGAGAGACAAATCAGACTCCTTCAGAGCAGATTTTGAACTCCTTTATTTCTACTTCTTATTTCTTTTATGCAATCTATTCTTTTCATGATGTTTTCTCAAATCACCATGTCTGAGTAGTTTGTTAGTTAAGTTAGAGTTTTTCAAAGGTTGAAGAAGAGTTTGTAGAATTGCTAAAACTATAAGAAATTCAGTAGTTCTTCATCTGTGCTTGCTTAAATTCGAATTTCTTAGACACATCATCTGGATTTCGAAACCCTAGGTTTTTGATAGATGTGAGAGCATTATTAATCACCTGAACTAGTATTAGATGAGCAAAACGCCCTAGTACAAAGAGATTTGGCTTAGGTGTTTTGTGAACAATTGAACCTGATCATTACTGTATGTTTAGATTGTTAGGGTTTGCAAAGAGATTTGAAACTCTGTGATTTAGACATAGTTAACTTCTGCAATGAGAATTGATTAGTTATACCTTTGTGATTCATGTTCAAGACGGTTCTTAATCATTCCTGATTTCATGCATTCTACATTCTTGGATTCAACCTGCGAATTGTCCTGACTTAGCGCCTTTAGTCTTCTGAACCTTAAGAACAAGCATAAAAACGCCCTCTTGCATTTATTTTACTGTTTTGCATTACATTCATTATTTATCGCTTAGCTTAATCTGAATCTATAATCGCTAGTGTGGTTTACATACTCCCTTGGGATTCGATAACCCCTTATACTACGACTGCTTTGCTGTGCACTTGCAGTAGCTTTATTTGGGTAAAACCTGAGCCCTATCATCAACCGAGTAGACTTCTCTTGTCTCGAGTAGACTTCTCCTGTCTCGAGTAGACTTATAAAAGACATTAATTTTACATAACTTAAAAGTGATTCAGAGGGACATTTCTCTCATTTATATCATATAACTTGTCAACCGAGTAGTCTTCTCTTGTCTCGAGTAGACTTCTAAAAGACATTAATTTTACATAACTTAAAGTGATTCAGAGGGATATTTCTCTCATTTATATCATATAACTTGTCAACCGAGTAGACTTCTCTTGTCTCGAGTAGACTTCTGAAGTAGACTTCTCATTGTCTCGAGTAGACTTCTTAAAGACATTAATTTTACATAACTTAAAGGTGACAACATTCGCCCTCTTTTGCTATTCGCCCTCCTTTGCCAACATTCACCAAGAAGCTCACCATGTGTGCAACCATCTCTTAAAAACAACATTCACCCTCCTTTGCTATTATCCACCTCGAACTGCCACACTGATTCACACTTAACCCATTCTCCATAAACAGCGGGTATGTGAGCCATTCTCTGTGAAAAAAAGAACAAAATCCAAACCACATTAGACATCAAAATTGCATAAGTAGACTTCTCTGAAAGTCGGATGATAGACTTCTACAGTAGACTAAGAAGTCTACTCTTAATAAGCTAAGTATCATATAAAACATGAAAACTCATTCGACTATACCTATAAAATATAAACATGCAAAACTTATACATAAGCAAGAAAACTTAATAATAGAAGCTTAGGATCACGAAAATCTTAAAAATTCGTTATATATTATATAAAAATGATTTTTTAAAAAAAACAAGAAAAGTAGACTTCTCGGATAAAAGTAGACTTCTCGCAGGTTAGTTTTGCAATTGCCAAAATATTAGTAGACTTTTCTATGAAAAGTAGACTTCTCCGAGAAGTCTACTTTCGCAAATAGACTTCTCACAGGTCATTTTTGCAATTGCAAAATATTTGACTTTTTGGTCAATTGCAAAAATGACCTGCGAGAAGTCTACTTACGAAAGTAGACTTCTCGGAGAAGTCTACTTTTCAGAGTAGACTTCTCTGAGAAGTCTACTTTGCATAGAGAAGTCTACTCTACAAAGTCAAAGGTTGGTCAATTGCAAAAATGACCTGCTTCTAAAGAAGTCTACTCGAGAAGTCTACTCTATTTTTTTTTTTTATCAAAGGAAATTGATTAGACTTCATTCGGACCAAAAGAAGTCTACTTTTTCATGCGGTCAATTGCAAAACTAACATGGGCGTTGACTAGTAGACTTCATTCGGACCGAGAGAAGTCTACTTTCGGAGTATTTTTGTAAATAAGTGAGGAAGATGAGGATTAGTTGGTCATTTGGATTTCTGAAAATAAAAGAAATTAATTAAAAATAATGGCAATTTCGTGAATAACTGAAACTATGAAGGATTGTTTGGACACAAAATGGCAAATGTTGGGAAGGTAATTTTTGTGGGTTAGATTTGCAATTCAAATCAAATTTTAGGTCATTTTTGCAAAGTCATTATGATTATTTGTAGAGTTACAAAACTGATGAAAATGAATTATTTAATTGTAAAAAATACTTAACTTAGCCAAGTTTTTATTCTCGTTTGATTAAATGAATTATTTATTT